CCTTTAACTGAGCCAGACATACAAAATAATTGGTGGAGGTGGGACTGCGACCAAAGGAAACTTATAGAGGTCAACTATCCTACCCTGTCTTCACTGCACCTTGTATGCAAGTGCTCAACAGAGTGTGTGTGTGTGTGTATGTGTGCGTGCGCTTTGGGGCTTCAGTTCCCTCTGATCCTTCCCTTATCTCTCACAACCCTCCCTATCCTCCTCCCCCCCCATTTTACACACACACACACACACCCTTGTCTGCCGCCAGCAGAGTCCCTCGCGGCCTGGCGCAGCAAACAGATCGATACACCGGAGCTAGGCCGCATTAATATCTGTCGCTTCACCCCCCCCACCTCGGCGCCCGCTCAACTGCTTCAACACACGCACACATGCGTGTACACACACACACACACACACAGCCGGGCACATACACGTAAGCACCTAAATCACGCAGACACACAGAAACACACATCACACCCGTACCGGCGGCGGAAATGGCCCCTAGCTCCCGAGGGATCTGTCTAATTAAAAAAAAAAAAAAAAAAAGCTCATGATGTGATATTATAGTATATAGTATATCAGAAATCTGTTCAAAGATCTAATTAAAAAAAAAAAAAAAAAAAGTTGGGGGAGGGGGTGGAGGGTTGGGGGGGGTGGATAGATTGAGGCAGAGAGTGAGAGGGAGGAGAGAGAGAGAGCAGGATGGATTTTTCTCTCATTAGAAGCCATGTCTCCTGGTGTGGCCTGGCCTGGCTTGATAATGATGAGTCCTCTTCTCCTTCGAGGGCGAGAGAGAATCGGGGAGAGGGAGGAAAAGAAAGAGAGGGAGAGGGGGATAAGAGAAGAAAGAGATGGAATGAGGCAAGAGGTGGAGGGCGTAAGGTGCAGGGGAGAGGGCAGGTAGAGATGGAGGGAGAAGGCGCGGTGGTGGTGGTTGTGAGGGGTAAAAACACTCTGTACATACTGTGCTGCTTTTTGCACAGCAGGCTTTTTTTTTAATAAATATCAGAAAAAATAATAGCAGAAATTTTACTTTTCATGTTTTTCCTGGATCCAAATCTTTTTCTCGTATTCACTTAAATGGGGTCAGCTCAGTTCCAAAGCAAGACACATGGCTTTAAACTCTGTGTGGATATCTGTATATGTAGATGAATGGATGAGAAAATCCATCATTTCAGTGTAAAGGTGGAATGAGGCCGAGTGGAGTTCTTAATAACTTATTGGGTGTTTTTATAAGCTGCCTGCATACTTGACCCTTAAATCCATCACTACAGGATAATAAATAACTTTTGAGAGCATGTGCCACTTCTGTTTTTTGTTCTAATAACTTGTATCATATATTAAAAGCCAAATATCAGCAGTTAAATGTGTAATTAGTTGAATTATGTTTTTACAAATGTTCAGTAAAATACAACTGGATGCTAAACTTCATCTCCCTTTCTCCCCTTACATCCTCTTTCTTTTCCGATCCATCTTTTCTTTCATATTTATCCCATCTTTGTCACATCAACACTATCATCTCATTTCTTTTCCTCCTGCCGTGCTTTCCCCTGTTTTGTCCCTTTGCTCCGTAATGCAGACATGCTGCGAGCTCGCCAGGAAGCGCTGGCTGCGGCGGTGAGGAATCCAGTGGCCTTAGAAGCTCACCTGCCCTCGGCGGGAAGCTCTTCTTCATCCAGCCAGAGACGCAAGCAGGGCCTGCCGCAGCATCGGGACGCGCATTATACCGACAGGTAAAAACAGATGCACGGCGTCAATGTCTGCATCAGCGCTGCCGTAACCAGCTGTAGCTGTTGAAACAAATACCCGCATTATTCATTATTAGGAAAAAAGAAACCCTAACACCTGCATCCACCTGGCACATGCATATAACTTCATACCATAAGAGTTGGAGTTAATCACCTGCCAGTTTGCATCAGCACAGCACTGTACAGCACCCCCACCCCCACCTTCCTCAGCGAGATCTGATCTCATATTTGGCTTTTCCTGTGTGCTGCAGAGTTTGTGTGAGCGTGTGCATTTCCACATACATGGCTAAACTGAGGATCCAATAACCTCTTGGCTACCACTGTGGAGTTGCACGCCTGCACGCCAGCTCTTCCTCCCTCCCCCCCCAAAGCGCTGGCCCCTGCGCCTCCCAAACAAAGCCAGGGGCAGCGGGAGTGGGCGGGTAATTGCTTGTCGATTATTTATGTGGCGCGGGGAGAGGCGGGGGATCGATAATGGGCCGGCGGTGCGGCAGCAGGGTGTGTGCGCTTGTGTGTGCGCTTGTGTGTGCATGAGAGAGAGAGAGAGAGAGAGGCAGAGAGGGGTTGGTGAGGGGCAGGAGGGGGAAATAAGCAGGAAGCAGAGCGGCCAGGCGCTGTGTGGTGCAGCTCTGGGAGACTAGCATGATGTATCACGTGGGATCTCAAAAACACAAACAATGTGTCTGAAAATGTATTAATGTTAAGACGTATGTCGCATTTAGAAATGAAAACATCACAGTGAAACCAAAACA